CAGTCAGAGGAAATGGACTGGCATTTCCACTCAGGGACGGGCCAGGCCGGGGACCGCCTTTCATCACAGAAGGATGGGTTCTATAGGAAGCAGGGCTGGGTCCCGTCTCCCACTGCATCAGCAGCCACAATGCAAGACCCGTTCACTGACCCCAAGGGCAGACTGTCTTCACCAAAGGACAGCGTGAGATAGGAGCAAAGGGCCCTGTAGTAGAACCCTATCCCCTGACCACAACAGCCATTGTCTTCATCAGAGCAGCTCAAAGTCTTCGCAAGTCACCCTTAAGATCAGGCTTGCTGAAGCGACCTTGTAGGAGGACGGATGGGGAGGGTCACATGACCCTCACCTTAGAGCTCTGTGGTGTCTCCTGCACCTCTGCGCCAGCTGTAGGTAATCCTGCCTTGTGGTCTTGGAGGTGCGACAGATAGACGTGGGGGGCTAACTGGAGAGGGGGCTACAGCTGCGCTGCTATGGGGACGTCCCCATCCTTGACTTTGGGGTGGTGTGGCCATTTTGGGGAGACCTGCTTTCATTTAAGCACTTTCTCACCCTTGCCCAGTCAGTAAGCACAATAAACCCTTTAATTTCCGTCGCGTTAGGAGTTGCTAGAACTGCACCTCTGCTGTCACTGATTATCGGGGGGAGAAAAAGGCTGTTGACAGCTACCCATGAAAAGGTGCATGCAATAATCCAGGCACACAAGAGTGGATATCCAGTTTGGCCAGGGCTAGAAAAGATGCCCACAAGCCACCATCCAGTCAGTTGATGGGAACTGGTTCACAGAGGGCTTCTCGGCAGATTCTACCATGGCTCATGCACTTCCTAACCTTTATCCATCACCTAACACCTCCCCGTGCTACTGTCCCAACGCCAGGTCTGCCTTCTGTGCTGACCGCATTTTCCACACAGGACCTTGGAATTCTTCCGGCACACATCAAAACCCTAAGATTTTTGTATCCTCCTGAGATTAGGGACCACACACCCCTCTTTTTACCCCTGAACCTCCCAGTACCTGTCACCATGACAGTGGGTGACAAGTACCCAATAAGTGGATGAAGGATGGACCACACCAGGTAAATAGTGTGGGCTGAGCTGATCTGAAACCCTAAAGGTCACCCTGAGTGCCAGGGACAACAGTTATGCTTAAAGCTGAGAACTCTCAGGTTCCAGCCCCAGCTCTGGGACCTATGAACCCCTTTCTCTGAAGGCCTGACTTCTCCATCTATGTAACAGATATGATAGCATGTGTTCTGCATGGATGTCTGCACCAGACAAAGCCAGTACTGTTCACAGGAGATTTGCAGATTTGTGATTGTCTACACACTGAGGGTACAGCTCCCATCTCCCTGGGAACCCAGCAGAAAAGGAATGGGAGAAACGGGGAACTGAGAGATGGTCTGGATACGACACACGCCAGGAGTCTGAGGACAAGGGTGAGCAGACATGAAACAACCTGTTAGCGTCGGGGGCCAGGGAAAAGGACTCTTCCAGAAAGGCTCTCTGGCTGGTTGCTGCTGTCGCCTGACAAGTGGGGGAGTTCTTAAGGCACAGGGATCTTTAGAGCAATCCTTTCCCGGGAACACCAGATCAGCCGACAGGAGTCAGCTTGGGGGCAGGACCCACTTCAGACCTGCTGAGGTCTCATTTGTGATCCCCTGACACCTCAGTCCCTTTTCCTCTCCTCTCATCAGCTCTGCCCTCCCTGGAAGCTTATCACGCAGCCTTCTCCTTGGCCCCTAGACAAGACAGCTGATTGCGAAGGAACAGCTAGTTAGCTTCAAAAGCTGCTGCCCACACCGCATGCCCCGCGAACCCTGTGCCTGCCGAGGAGTGACGTGTGTGTGTGTGTGTGTGTGTGTGTGTGTGTGTGTGTGAAGGCCCCAGCCCACAAGAACAAAAGGAGTCAGAGCTGAGGTTTCCTTCCGCTTGCTGGAAGTTTTCCTGGCCTCGGGGAAGGCTTAAAGCAAGTGATATGTTAAATGATAGACCCAGATGTCTTTATCATGCCCTTGAACGTAGGAACCCCACTGGGATAGTAAAGATTTCACAACTCTAAAACCCTAGTTGTCCATCCAGCTGGAGGGTAGCTGGAGGGGACTAGGGCTTGGGGGGGACACAAGTGCTAGCCACAGGATCTGCCTGCTAAATCCACAGGGAGGAAGCGGACTTCTGACCGTGAAGCCTAGTAGATAGCACCACCACAGCTGGCGAAGACTGCCCACTGGGCTTCCCAGTCCCACTCCAAATCACAACTAACACAGAAACGCCAAGGACGAAGTGTGGGGGCTGATATTACCAAAAAGCCCTTCCTCTGGGCTATTTAAAACTCCGTGGCCGTGGACAGGCAATTACTTCAACAAGAAGGAGCCCATTCCCACGAATAAGAGGGAAAAACTTGAATTCAAATTGCACACAGTACCATCTTCTGAGGACCAGTGTGCCGGAGGGTGTAGGGGAAATGGTCATTGCCAGTGCTGGTGGGCATGTAATTAAAACAGTCGCCCAGAAGCTATTTGGCATTGTCTAGCAAAACTAAAACTCTGACACCCAGCAATTCCTGGTCCAGACTGTTTATGTGCCCAAGAAGACCCTTATAAGGATGCTTAGTCAGGCAGTAATGACGATACTACAAGTCTGGGTGAGAGGGTTCTCAAAGTCAAGGGGACAAGATTATGTACAGAGAGGAATAAGATGAACCACTTAAAAATGGCCGGAAAACAACATAGATTCGGCTTAGCTGGAGATATTAAGTGACAAAGTGTAAAACAACATGTCAATTACTCATACACGCGCAACTGTCCCCAACTTCCAAGAATTCATTTCACACCCCACCTAGCCCGAGAAGCATCTCTGCCCGCTGCAGCCCATTCCGGACTCCCGGGGACACTTATCCTAGATGCTCAACCTTTCACAGCTCCGTGCACTGCAAATGAGCGTGATGTGCAAACATGGCCGCCTTCTTGCTCCACCCTGAGTCCACGGACGGTGCACATGCCTCCCTCTTTCTCTGTAGAGAACACACAAAAGCCAGTACACAGTACACAGCCAGTACTTGCTGCCTGGTTCCGTGGGATAGCACTCCAAGTGAACCGGGAAAGACCAGCCACCAAGAAGCGTAGCCGAAGGTGGCCTCCCTCACCAAAACACCAGAAATAACATTGGCCAAGTCATTGCCAGGGAGGCCTCTAAGTTCCCCCACTCACAGGGGCTGCTTGCTCATGGCCAGCAGGTCACTGACGGCCCTCTCTGATCTGCATGTGTCCCCCCTCCTCCACATCTGAGGAACCAGGCTGTAGTCTGCAAGGCTGAGTGCCACAAATAACTCCCAACATAAATATGGCCTAAAAATAGCCATAAATCATCCTCATTCCATCCGGTGACAATTCTAATTTATAACAAGAGGGGAGAAAATGAACACGGTGTTTTTTTTTTTTCCCCTGGACTTCCAAGCTACTGCTGAGGACGAATTCCACCCCGCTGTTAGTTACAACCAGGAGTTCCTGATTTACGCATTACTAAAGATGAAATATACCAGAGGCCTCCAGGCACGGGGGCTGCTTGCTGAGGTTTAGTGTGAATTCCTGCAGGCTTTCAATATCCCTGCATAAGTAGCTTCCTTTCTCTTGGTCCCCACCCAAGCTTTCTTTCTCTCTCTCCCTACCTATTCTTCCATTGTGGGGTGGTAAGAGCCTTTCCCTCCAGAGAGCAAGCCCCAACTCTCTGGGCTCCCTGCAAGAAGGGCTAATGCGTATGTATTAGCAAGATCCTGGTCACAATGCTGGAGATGGCTCTTTCCAGCAGCACATTCGGGTAATCTGCACATTAATGTTCCATGCAGTCAATTAAACTGCACACGAGGCAGAGGAGAGGAAACGGGAATTTCTCATACCGCGGCTTTTCTTATTCATCACCATAAAACAATTCTTATTGGTATATTAAAAAAAAAGCACATACACATAAAATGAAAGTTATCTCTCTCCATGGGGTAATATAATAAAAGCCATTTGATGCTATTTTTGGCAGCCATAAAAGCACATAATTAATACAGGAAAAGAATCATCATGACAAAATGTGTCCCCAAAACCGACAGTGCCCAAGGGCAATCCTTAGAACTCAAGTGGGCTCACAATCCTCGCACCACTGAGATGGGCAGACACACACTCAACATGACAGTAGCTAGTATGCCGGCCTTTACCTCTCTGAAATGCCAGCTGGATTATGGGAGGCTTCTGAGATCTCGCCCATGGTATCCCTGGCCACATCCCTTTGAGAGTGGCAGGCAAGACCCTTGGTGGAACTACTGAGGTCTTCAGGACACCTGGTTGGGACCCTCTGATGGGAATGGACTTTTCTGTGGCTGTTCATGTTAGAGCCAGAATAGCAAGGTGGCATCCAGGAAACCCAAAGCTGAGTTTGTTCCAGATGCTGACCCCATTCCTACAGATCCCAGATCCCTCTCCATTCCTACAGATCCCAGATCCCTCTCTCTCCACTCCAGCACTGCAGGAACCTTGCTCACTCGAGAGCCCATCTCAATATCTGTTGAAGCTGATACACCCCACAGGGAGATGAAATTTTAGTCAGCATGAGGAGAGCTGCCCAGCCCTGATGGTCATTACCAGTTGGCTGAAGCACCTGGAGAGGATGCTTCCTCACAATGACACCCGTCTTCCCTGAGACCTGCACCCCAGTACAACCCCAAAGCACCCGGAAACACAATGATAAACATACTAGAGAAACCCCCAGGCACCATGTCAACCCCCATCCATACACCAGTGACCTCCTGGATAGAGCACTTTGGCCATGGTCAGCTCCAAATAAAACAGAAGAGAAACTCTGGGGTAAGAGGACGGAAGCCAACGCCAACACCAGGGACTTGGCAAACTAAAATTCCTTTGACAGTGGTGACTGGCATCAGATTGTTCTCAAGCAATTCCAAATTCTCTGTGGCGGCCCGTAAATGACACCTGGGGGACAGGAGAGCCTTTTCTGCCCTTTACCTCGACTCCCTGGACTTTGAGCTTCATGTGGTCCTCTCTGGTCGTCTTCCCATCTTTCCTCTTCTTCCAACAGTACCCGTCTTTCCTGTACTTCACTTTCTTCCTGTTGTAGAGTATCATGGAGCCATTCTGCGGTCTGCAAGCGACAAATGGTTAAGTTACCGAGAGAACTAAGCAGAAGGGAAATTTATGAAGAAAGATACCGCAGACCAGTAAAAGTCTCTACAGAAAAGCAATATTCCACATTTGCTGGGACGTAATTTTTCACCTTTTATTGCCGCTCCCTGGATTAACCATGTTTTACGGCCAGCCAAAATTTGCTTGTGGATTTGGTACCTAATGAATTAAATGTGTCAATGATAGGCTTAAAAAACAACCCCTTAGTAATTTCCTCCAAACTAATCAGGATATATGATGTGGGGGGCCCTGAGCTCAGTAGTGTAAAGTAGGCAAAACAGAGAGAGAGGGGGGAAAAAAAGCAAAAAGAGCCAGGGGTGTCTGGCAGACTGCAATATCTTATCTCTTGTAGAAGAATTTTGTACACATCTTTTAATCCATCAGCCAGCATTAGGGAATAAATAAGTTTAACGCAGACGCTAGATGACTACGTTAAGAGCAGCCCAATAGAAGCAGCCCTGGTGCTGAGGACACCGCTCTTGATTCATTGCTTGCATTTAGATTACTGCTGGATACAGACAAGCATCATGGTCCTTCCTCTCTGGCAAGCAAAGTACCTGATTCCTCCCCCATTTGGGCTTCAGCTGTCAGATATCTTCGATATACCAGGAACCCTCATCTATTCTGTCCTGGCCATAGCAGCTTTGGAAAATGGCAGTTCGTTTTCTAAATGCATTCCTGTGATGTTTCAAAGGAACAAGCATGGCTGAGGACAAGGCTCCATCAATAAAGAGATTGCCCTGTAGGAATGAGGACCTGTGTTTGGATCCCTAGCACCCATGTAACAGCCTGGGAATAGTGCTAGATGCCTAGAGCCCAGCACTTAGGAGGCAGAACCAGGAAGATCAGATGTTCTAGGTCATTATGGCTACTTCGTGTGTTCAGGGCCCACCCAGGATATACAAGACCTTGTGTCTGAAAACAGAACAAGACATTGGAAGTACCAAACAAAACAGAATCTAGACTTTTCCAAAGAAAAAGCATACCCCAGTCACAGAGAGCAGAGGAGTGGTGTGTGTGTGTGTGTGTGTGTGTGTGTGTGTGGTGTGTGTGGTGTTTGTGGTGTGTGTGTGGTCTTTGGGTGAGGTATGTGTGTGGTGTGGTGTGTGTGTGTGTGTGGTGTTTGTGGTGTGTGTGTGGTCTTTGGGTGTGGTATGTGTATGGTGTGGTGTGTGCGTGTGTGATGTGTGTGTGGTGTGTGTGTGTGTGATGTGTGTGTGGTGTGTGTGTGTGGTGTGTGTGTGGTGTGTGTGTGTCTGTGTGTCTATATGTGTGTGTGTCTGTGTCTGTGTGTGTGGTGTGTGTTTATGAAGGTGCTGTGGTGGTCATATATTTTGGGTAGGAATTTACAAAGCGCGAGAACATTAAGGCCCTCCCCCAGCTGCCAGCAGGTGCTGTGGTAAGCCGTTCCCAGAATAAAGCTGCAGCAGGTGCAGATGTGGGCAGATCCAACCCTGAAGCTAGCACGCTCACTCAAGAGCTGGCTGTGTGCCACCTGCACCTGTCCACTAGGCAAAGAAAGACTTGCCCGTGGTTCTGTGTGTGCCTGTATTGGCGCCTGTGGCACTCCATCCTCCTCTGAGCCAGAGGAGGCGGTGCTGCACAGGAGTGTGTCTGTTAGAGCAGCTCTGGAGGCGCCATGGCTTGTGACTTCTGTGCTACAGTAGAGGTGGGGGGAAGAAACACGCCAATCCATCCTCCCACCGCTTGGGGAGAGCCTCCCACCCCTAACCTTCCCTTTCCGGTTGAACAATGGGCCATTTCACTACACAGGACTGAACACTGGCTATTGATGGCTTAATCTTCCATTGTCTAGAGGGCAAAAAGAAAGCCTCGGGGTGGCTACAACTAATTATGGTTCCCACCCAGTCCGACTGTGTCATCCAGCAGCCCCAGGAAGACTAAAGAGCAATTCCATGGGAGATTATAGACTTTCCGAGGTGCCTCCCTGCACTCCATTGTTCCCTGATCAGGGTGCAATTGGTTGTCATTGTTGGTTTCCTCCCCCAGCCTGCACCAACCAAAACAACCACAGGAAACGGCCCTACACACTGCTCACACACTATCACCCGATGGTGGCTATCTGTGCCTATGGGTTTGCATTTCAACACCCCCTTCAACCCCCCCCCCCCCCCCGCAGTCAGTTTCCTTCTTTTCACGGGAGAGGGGCTTGCAGTCCCAGCAGCTCTGGGCATTTGCACTGCACCCTCAGAACACTGTGAAACCTCCCAGTCCCTCAAACACCCAACGAAAGGTTCCCAAACCCAAGCTCCCATCCTTAAGGCCAAAGAGGGCAAAGGATTATGTTAGGGCAAGAAAACAGACTCCGTGTCCCCATCCTCTCATAGGGCAGGGGTGAGGACACTATAATGGGAACACAGCCAGGAAACCCCTGGTCAAAAAAATAAAAAGTTACCCTCTAAAGAAGGCCTCAGAGGAAGGACCTGTGACCTGTACCATCCCTGCCACTGTTACGGATCCTTAGCACCCGTCCCTACACTGTAAGTGGTCCCCAGAGAGGGTAGACTCCCTCAAACTCCGTCATACACATCTCCTGTTGATCTCACTTTAACATCCCAAGAGTGGCCCTGTCGCTTGTCACTTAAGCAGGACACCATCCAGGGAGCTTCAGTGTTCAACTCGAATGACCTCAGTGAATGGAATCTTCAGTCCAGTCCACAGAAATGAGAGCCAAGCAGTGTGCAACCCTCCTGACTGACTCTGTCTGAGCTTGCTTCTGCTCTGTGTGACGTGGAGGCCCCACCACATTGCCAGGCCCTACGAGCCATGAAGGGGAAAACGGTCCTGCTACAGAAGGATCCCTGTGCCTGACAGGACTGAGTCTGAGAGGCTGTGAGGAGGGAGGGTGGAGGAAGCGGGCTTTAGGATGGAGAAGAAGGACTAGATCACACACGGAAGGGCCTCCATTTACCTGACCGCTTAAGGCAAGGCAGGCCTGAGCAGAGTGGAGAGGCAGGAATGGAGACACAGCTGGAGATCAGGGACTGTGTGGACACAGCCAGCAACCTAACCATCCCGGCCTTCTGTGTCCTGGTCATCCACATGCACCTACTGCTGGCTGAGAACATGGCACCTATGCCCATCCATCTATCATCTGCATACATCCTGACCTGCATACTAACTCTGTGAGGGAGGTGCTGCCAACATCCCCAGATAACCAGCCTTTCGTGCTCCAGTGCCTGGCAAGTCTGTGGATGCCAGGGAAGCCCAGGTTGCTAGCTAAGCTGAGACCGAATCGTGATCTGCTATGCTGGCTGGGATCAATAGAGTCCAGAAGCACACTTAGAACGGGACCAGGGGCCAGGAGGTCAGAGGCCAGACTTCCTCTCTTACAGTCGGGCAAATCCTCAGCTGCCCCACTCTTGCTCTACGGTGTCTGGGGGTAACTAGAGCTGTCCCAGGATTCCTTTCCTATGACTGGGATAACTCGGAGTATCTCAGACTTGCCCTCCCACAGATAAGGTAAGTGAGGGTGTCCATTAGTTACTCCTAATACTAGGGTAACTCTGGGTTTGTCCCAGATTGCACCCTTAGCTAAGGTAACTCTGGCTCCTCCACTCTCCTCTCTAGAGCCGACTCAGTGGAGACCTGTTGGGGAACAAGCCCTTTACTTAGGTTCATACTTTGCCTCCTTCACCCAGACACTCCCCGCTACTGTTGCCTCCTGGGGTCAGCTATGACATAACCTCGGGCTAGACTCTCATCTCCCTCCTAGGATCCCCTTCTGGGACAACTAAGCTGAGACAGGCAGTCGAGAGCCCCAGGGAAGATTCCCGAGGCCCCCACCACAGTTGCACTGGTGAAGGAGACCTCCAGGAGAGACCATGGCCACAGGAAGCTAGCTTTGTTCTAGGCAGGAGGCCGCTACCCAAGCAACCCTTTCATCTAAGAGACGAACAGCTAGGACAAACAGTTACATTTTACACAGTGGTGAGAAAAGTCCTTGGACTTGAGGAAAGCTTCACAAAAGATAAGATGTGTGTGGATGGGGGGGGCGGTATAGGTCGATGAGTGGGAGTGGGTGGGTGAGCAGATTAATAGAAAGATACTAGACATTAGACAGTATGATGATTTGAAGAATAATGTCCCCAATAGGTTCAGGTGTTTGAATACTTGGTCACCCATTGGTGGCACTGTCTGTGTTGATTTTGGAGGTGTGGTCACACTTTTAAATGCTGGAGATCATGTGGCATTCCTAGCTCACTTTCTCTATTTCTAAATCTTGGTTCAAGATGTGAGCCCTCAGCTGCTCTGGCTGCCACTGCTGCTGCCTGTTGCCATGGTTCCCTTCATGACCTCTAATCCTCCAGAACTGTAAGCCAAATAAACCCTTCCTTCTATAAGTTGCTTTGGTCATGGAGTTTTAGCACAACAGAAAACTAACTAATACAGATAAATAGTTATATAGGTAAAGAGATGATGAGTGGATGGATAGATAGATAGATGCTAGCTGAAGACATGGATATAGATTGATAGATGATAGATAGAAAGATGATTGCTGAAGATGGATGATAGATTGATGGACAGATGACAGACAGATGATAGAAAGATGACAGCTGACGATAGATGAATAGGTAAGTAGATTATTGATAGATACACATAAAGATAGATAACTGAAGACAGGTGGTTTAATGATGGATGAGCTTCCATCTACCATAGAGAAGAAGGAAAACTTAGAGAAAATTTAAACATAGGAAAGAATTTAAGGAATTTAATAAGAAATTGTGCCAATCTAAAGAGAACTGCAAAATCTTCTAAAAGACATAAAAGCAGGTTTTGATACATACAAAAAGGTGGCATGTCTCTGCGAGGGTGAAACAAGATCATAAAGCATGACCTCCCCTTGAGTCAGTTCTGTCAATGAGAACACCATTAGGATGTTTTTAATGTAGAACATTATCTTATAAAATTACTTAGGGTCTGGAGTGATGGTTCAGT